TACTCTCTTCCTGATCTTCGCACGCTAGTTGATTTTCTCGACAAAATTTGAGATGCCAAAACCACCGCGTCCACTGCTGTTAATTTTGCATTTGCTGGAGGATTGGGACAATCAATCGATATGTATGAAAAGCTTAAGATGAAGTTAACGTGCATATGGTGTTGGTGAGGACTCCTCTAGGATTTATCCACGCAATGGTAAGCACGTGTGACCAATTTTATTAGGTTTTTCATGAGTGTGTTTATCATTTACTTTGCTAATTTTTGTTAGTAAAAAAAGATTCGATGTTTAGTTAAAAAAAAAATCAAATCTCATTAGTTCTTGATAAAAAAAAACGTTTTTGGGATAATTTGCCAAATAACTAAAAAAAAATTATAATTAGTTAAGTAGACAAAACTTCTCTTGCATGATCATAACTATTAGATTTAGATATTTTTTTGCTACTTAATCAATTATAATTTTTTTTTGGTGTTATTTGGCAAATTGACCCAATGTTTTTCGCTCTCTTCACGCGCTACACGCGCTCAATTTTTGGTTTACGCGCTTAAAGTAGAGACAAAACCCTCGTGGATGTATTTCCTCCCACCATTTTTTCTCTCTAGAAACATCGTCATTGCGTTATCTTCTTCTCCGAAACATCTCAATCAGATTCTGAGATTCGAATCCTTCTCTCAAACCCTAGAATTTCTTCCCCCAAATCTCAGATCCCAATTCCATGGCCGTTATTCCTCGATCAGATCCACCTTCACGGATCCATCCCCAACCTCAAACCCTAGAAATCGACCATTTCGATCGTCTTCCAGACTCAATTCTCCTCCTCGTCTTCAACAAAATCGGCGACGTCAAAGCCCTCGGTCGTTGCTGCGTCGTCTCCCGGAGATTCCATTCCCTCGTTCCTCAGGTCGAAAACGTTGTCGTTCGCGTCGATTGCGTCATCTCCGACGACGATTCGTCATCTCTGTCTTCGATCAAATCTCGCTCCGCCTCGATTTCCGCAGGTTCGTTCTCCGCTATATTCCGTCTTGTCGTCGGTGGCATTGTTAAGCCGTTACAGGCTTTAGGTCAATTCCTTGGCACGAAGAGATCATGCGGTGGTTCTGGA